TCATCCAGCTCTACACCTTGTTGACTCAAATAACATGATACTTCTGAGAGTCGCATGCTGAGGGTCTAACCAAAGTAATAAGTAATCCAAAACAGTACAAACTAATTAAGGTAGTGCGATCATAAAAATTTATCCAGGTGATGATGACAAAACTGGACAGTAAGGAAGATTTTACAGATACAGAACAGTATGGTGGGGTCACACAACATGAACCCAAGATCACGGTTGAGGCCGTCGTCTTGGATATGGAACTTGGCTGTCAGTTTCTGCTCAGTGATTCTGCGTTGTTGTATATCTTGAAGGCCGCCTTGGAGGATGCTTACCCAAAGATCGGAAGCTGAAGTGTTCCCCCACTGGGAGGGAGCATTCCTGTCTGGCGATTGTTGCGTGGTGTTCATTCATCCATTGTTGTAGTGTCTGCACAGTCTCACCAATATACCATGCCATGGGCCATCCTTGCCTGCAGCGTATGAGATCGACCACATTGGCCAAGTCACTTAATATCTGCCGTGTACATGGTGGGTGCTGTTCCCATGTGTGATGGTAGCGGTTGTGAAGTGTTATGGTTGATGTTCTCCTGACGGTTGGGCATTTTGCTGCAAATGATGGTCTATTTAAGGTTTTGCAGTTGTTTGAAGGTGAGGAGTAGAGGCAAGATGCTCGTCATCAACATCAGGCAGCAAGCCCAATGAGACAACCAATGAGCCAGAACAGTCGACAGAGAGATCCATGGTGGAGTGACCAAAGAAAAAAGAGTCGAGTTGGACCACTCCAGAAGGCCATTGCCCTAGGCTCGACATGTATGCTTAAGCTGTCAGGAAATGCGTTAATGCCAGATTCGTCAGCCGTGTTCATAAGACAGTGCAGAACATAATGTAATGCCATCCATGCTCTCAAGACCAATTGCAACATTGTCATCAAACCAGCAGACAGAGGAGGAGTCAACATCCTACAGAACTGAACATACTACTGCAAATAGGCATGCCGACAGCTAAACAACCAAGAACACTACAGACAACTATCTGCCGATTTGACCAAAGAACACAACCTTCAACTGAACAGACTGATCAAGACCTTTGATCCAGACCTTCAGAGTATCCTATGCACTGTCATCCTGCGTATTTCTCATGTTGGAGAGCTCTACTGCCTTCCAAAGATACAAAAGCCAATACACGTGGACGTCCCATCGTATCAGGCAATGGGACCCTGTATGAGAACCTCTCTGGCTATGTCGAGGGCATCTTGAAACTCACTGTACAAGGAACCCCCAGCTTCTGTCAACATTTTCATGCACAAGTCTGAGCAAGATTTCTTTGCTGCACAGGACCTCCGACCAACATTATACACCAGATAATTGATGACATTTTCTTCTTGGCGAGGAATCACGAAACTACTACATAGTGATATCAACAAGTTTCATCCCACCATCACACTTACGATGGACTACTCTTCAGAATCAGTCTCATTCTTGGACACACGCATCTCCATCAAGGACAGATACCTCAGTACTTCACTCAACTGCAAGCCCATGGATAACCTCGTGATGCTGCACTTCTCTAGGTTCCACCCTAAACATATTAAAGAAGCTATCCCCTACAGACAAGCCCTGCACATACACAGGACCTGCTCAGATGAGGAGGAATGAAACAGACACCTAAAGATTTTGAAAGGCGCCCTCATAAGAATGATACACGATGCTCAACTCATCGATCAACAGTTCCAACGTGCCACAGTGAAAAACCGCAACGACCTCCTCAAAAGACAGACACAGGATACGACTCAAAGTACCCTTCGTCGCCCAGTACTTGCCCGGAGCGGAGAGACTACGCCATGTACTTCGCAGCCTTCAACATGTCATCGATGACAATGAGCATCTTGCCAAGATGTTCCCTATATCTCCACTTCTCGCCTTCAAACAACCGCCAAACCTTAAACAAACCATCATTCACAGCAAACTACCCAGCCTTCAGGAGAACATCGACCACAACGCCACACAACCCTGCCAAGGCAACCTCTGCAAGGCATGTCAAATCATTGACATGGATACTACTATCACACATGGGAACACCACCCATCGTGTACACAGCAGATATTCATATGACTCAGCCAGTGTTGTGTATGTCATATGCTGCAGGCAAGGATGCTCTGAGGCAAGACTATGCAGATGCTACAACAACGGATGAATGGACACCGCAAAACAATCGCCAGACAGGAATGCTCCCTCCCAGTCAGGGAACACTTCAGTGGTCAAGGAAATTCAGCTTCCAATCTTCGGGTAAGCGTCCTCCAAGGCGGCCTTCGAGATACACAACAAGGCAGAATCGCCCAGCAGGAACTGATAGCCAAGTTCCGTATTCATGAAGATGGCCTCAACCGTGATCTTGGGTTTGTGTTGCGCAAAATGTGACCCCACCACAATGTTCTGTATCTGTAAAATCTTCCTTACTGTCCTGTTTTGTCACCATTACCTGGATAAATTGTTCTGGCAATAATATCTACAAAACTGCCCATTACTCCTGTTCCTGTCTTACTTTCATACTTTTTAGAGACTTGTAGAAACCATTTAACCCCTCAGCCTGTTTGGCCATTCATTGAAATCATAGCTAAGTTCCGATCTAACTCCACATTATACATACGTTAATTGCTTTGAGTTACAAAAATATCTATCAACATCAGGTTTAAATTGAGCAACTGATCTGGTATCAATTGTTATTCGTGGAAGAGAGTTCCAAACTTGTGTCGTCATCAGTGTGTACTAAATTTTATTGATTTCATTCCAGGCGGGTGTACCTCATGTTTTTAGGACTGTACTCCTGAAGGCTGAAGACAGCCTTAACTTACCACCCCACCTGTAACTTTTGAAAATGTCAATCAGATCACCCACCGCCTAACTTTTTAAGCTCCAAGAAATGTAACTTCAGTTAGTACATTCTTTGGTGGCACAGTGAGTCAGTAGTTACCACTGTTGCCTCACAGCACCACGGACCTAGGTTCGATTCCACCCTTGGATGACTGTCCGAGTGTAGTTTGCATCTTCTCCGCGTGTCTGCGTGGGTTTCCTCTGGGTGCTCTGGTTACCTCCCACTGTCTAAAGGTGCGCAGGTTAGATGGATCGGCCATGCAAAATTGCCCTGATGGATGTGCACCAGATTGATTTCACAGGTCGGCGCAACATCGAGGGCCGAAGGGCCTGTACTGCGCTGTAATGTTCTATGTGCAGGCAAGTTAGGTTAGCCAAGGGAAATACAGGGTGACAGGGATAGGGTAGGGGGATGGGTCTGGGTGGGATGGTCTTCACAGGGTTGGTGTGGATTCAATGGGCCAAATGGCCTGCCTCCACACTTTGGGGATTCGATGATCTTATGAATCTCTTTCTCTGGGTAAATGAAAACAGCGTTCCATCCGAAGACGTGGTGTAGTATAACCAGTTTTGTCTAACCAGCTTTAACGACAAAACCCATCAGGTTTTCTGATTTTTTTTTATACCTTCTTCAGGGGGACTTTAAAGGCGATGAATCTTGTGCCCGGGAGCCGGCGTCCCACAGCAGAATATTTCTGCCATCTGCAGAGAGAGAAGAGGAAACATGAGAGATAACGAGGCAGCAATAGGTGAGAAATGCTTCAGGGAAAAGGAACAGATTGAAAATCAGGAAGAAAACACCAGCGGGAGAGGGGAAGCCCGACCCCAGAGGAGACCAGCGCCCAGGAACTGAAGGCCCTACCTATCCGGGATCTTGTTTTTGCTCATGGCTTCAGATTGGCTGGCGCTACCCACACCGCGAGTGCCGCTGCCGCCGAGCCGCCTGACACTCCCCACCGCCAGGAACAGGCCTCGGACCTGGTGCCAGGTCAGGCCCATTGCGCAGGCGCGCCTTGGACAAACGGTGAGGGAGGGGCTGGGAGCGGGGCTCGGGGGTGGAGGAGACAGAGGGCCAGTGAGTGAGGGAGGGGACAGGGAGGCAGAGGGCTGGGCCAGTGAGTCGGGGAGGGGACAGGGAGGCAGAGGGCTGGGCCAGTGAGTGGGGGAGGGGCACTGGACATGGAGGAAGAAGGGGACAGGGAGGAGGAGGATGGGGACAGGGGGGAGGAGGAGGATGGGGGGAGGAAGAGGAGGATGGGGGGGTGTGGGTCGAAGTGGGGAATTGGAAGATGGGGAGTGGAAATGGGGGTGGAGTGAAGTTGAGCGGGGAAGTGGAAGTGGGTGGGAAGTGGAAGAGGGGGTACTGCAGTTGGGGGGGTCAAGTAGAATTCAGGTGAAGTGGACGTCTAGGGTGAAGTGGAAGTTGGATGGGGGTGTGGAAGATGGGAGTGTAGTGGAACTCAAATGAGGAAGTGGAGGGGAATGGGAGTCAAAGGGTGTGGAAGTGTGGGAAATAGACATCAGGTATGTGGAAGTCAGAGCAAGTGGAAGTTGGGAGAATTGGACATGGGGTGAAAATGGAAGTCAAGGAGGAGTGCAAATTGGGGTGGGGGAGAAGTGGAAATCGGGAAGTGGAAGTGGGTGCAAGTGGAATTTGGAGCAAGTGGAGGTCTGCGAGAGAAGTGAAAGTCGGGGGAAGTGGAGATGGGGAAGGTGGAAGTCAGGGAAGTGGAAGTGGGGGAAAGTGGAAGTGGGGGAAGTGGAGGTGGGGAAAATGGAAGTGGTGGAGAATGGAAGTTGAGAGTGGGAGAAGTTGAAGTCGGGGAAGTGGAAGTAAGGGTTGGATTGGAGGTCTAGCAGGGAAATAGAGGTCTGGGGGCGAATAGAGGTCTGAGGTGGGGAAATGTAGATCTGGGTTAGACGGAATGGTAATCTTGGGGGTAGGAGGTAGAAGTCAGGGATATGTGTAAGTCAAGGTGGGGGCATGAGGATGTTGGGGCTGGAAGTGGAAGTCAGGATGAAGTAGAAGTTGTGGTGTGTGGAGGTTTGGGGAAAGTGGAAATTGGGATATGTGGAAGTTGGGGGATATGGAAGTAGGTGTGTGGAGGATGTTGATGTCTCGGGGGGAAGACGATGTCTGGGGGAAGTGGAAGTAGAAGTGGGGAGGAAATGGAAGTCAAGGTTGGAGGAAATAGAGGTGGGCAGGGAGTGAAGGTCTGGGGGGAAATGGAAGTCGGGGGATGTGGAAATCGAGGTTTGAAGTGGAAGTTGGGTGTGCGGCAAGTCATGGGAAGTGGGGATAAGTGGAAGTTGGGGAGGGAATGGAAGTCAGTATTTGGAGGGATGTGGAGGTCGGGTGAAGAGGATGTCTGGGAGGAAGTGGAACTGGGGAGGAAATGGATGTTAGAGTTGGGGAAGTGGAAGTTGGGGTGCAGTGGAAGTTAAGGGGTCATGGAAGTGGGATAGGAAGTGGAAGTGGGTGGGAATTGCAAGTGGATGTTGAGGGAAATGGAAGTTTGGGGGAAATGGAAGTCAAGGAGCAAAATGGCAGTTGGGGGTGGTGGAAATCAGAGGGGGCATTTGAAAGTCCAGGAGAAGGTGAGGGAGTGGAAGACCGGTGGGGTGGGGCAGGGTAGTGGAGGTATGGTATGTGGAGGGAGGTCCTGTGTGGGCGTGGAATGGAGGCTGAGGGAGGAATGGGAGGTCTGATGGGGAAGGAATTTGGGACGTGGGGGAACAGGAAAGTCAGGGGGCAGAAGTGGAAGTTAAAGGGGAATGGAGATCTTGCAGGGTGGAATGGAGGTTTGGGGGGAAGTGTAAGTCAATGTGGGTAGTGTAGGTATGGGGTCTGGAAAGAGGTCTAGTGTGCAGGTGGAATGGAGGCTGGGGCGGGAATTGGAGGTCATTGAGGGGGGAATGGAGTTCTGGTGGGGTGGGGAATAAAAGTCCGGGGGAAAGTGGAAGTCGAGGGTGGGGGGAAATGCAAGTTGGGGTGGAGTGGAAGTCAAGGGGAAGTGGAACACGGGGAATGGAATTGAGGGGGGAAGTGGAAGTCAGGGGAAATGGAAGGCAGGGCAAGTGGAAGTCAGGGTGTGGGGGAAGCGGAAGTTGGAGGGATGTGGAAGTCAGGGTGTGGCAGGATGTGGAAGTTGGGGAGAAGTGGAAATCGGGGTGGGGGTAACTGGATGTCCAGGGTGGGTTAGAAGTGGAAGTTGGGGTGTGGAAGTGGTAGGCAGGGGCATGTGGAAGCTGGAATTGGAGGTGGGTGGGAAGTGGAGGTGTGGGAAGTAGAAGTGAGGACAAAATGGAAGTTGTGGGTGGGGGAACTGGAAGTTGGTGGCAGTGGAAGTTAAGGAGGAAGTGGAGGTCGGCAGAAAGTGGAAGTCAGGTTTGGGTAAAGTGGAGCATGTGGAAGTTGAAGTATGAGGGAAGGGTAAGTTGGAGTAAGTGGAAGTGGTGGGAAGTGGAAGGCAGGGTTTGTGGAAGTCGGGGGTGGGAGGTTGTGGAAGTGGAAAGCCTGGGAAATTGGATGTTGAAGGGAATGGAAGTGGGCGGAAGCGGAAGTCGGGGTGAAATGTTGATCTGTGGGGAAATGGAGGTTTTGGGCGGGAGGTTGGAGGTTGAGGGTGGGGAAACTGGAAGTTGGGGGAAGTGAAAGTAACAGAAAAGTGGAAGATGGGGAGACAAAGTGGGGAGAGGTGAAAGTCGGGGAAATGGAAGTTGGTGTGTGGGGGCATGTGGATGTCTGAGAGGAAGTGGAAGTGGGGAGGAAATGGAAGTCAAGGTTGTGGGAAGTGGAAGAGGTAGTGGAAGTGGTGTGGGAAGTTATAGTGGGGGGAAGAAGAGGTGGGGTGGAAAGTGGAAGTTGGGGAAAGTAGAAGTCGGGGAGAAAATGGAGGTGGGCAGGGAATGAAAGTCTGGGGGGGCATATGGATATTTTGGGACTGGAAGGAAGGGTTGGCATGATGTGAAAGTAGACAGGACGTGAAAGGAAAGTGGAAGTTGGGGTAAAATGGAAGACGGGGAGTGGAAGTTGGTGGGAAATGCAAGTTGATATAGGTGAAAAGTGAAAGATGGGGGGGAATGGAGATCGGGGCACGAAGTGGAGATTGGCTGCAAAATGGCAGCTGGGGGGAGCCAGTGTGGAGGATTGGGTGATGTGGAAGTCAGGTACAATGGAAGTCTAGCGGGGAATTCAGGTCTGGGGGGGTTGGGAGTGGACGTCTGGGGGTGAATAGAGGTCTGAGGCAGGGAAGTGTAGGTCTGGGGGGATGGAATGGAAATCTTGGGGGGGAAGTGAAAGTCAGGTGGGATGTGTAAGTTAAGATGAGGGGCTGTGGATGCTGGGGGCGGAAGTGGAAGTTGGGCTGAACTGGAAGGATGGGGGGTGTGGAGGTTTGGGGAAAGTGGAAGTTGGGGTATGTGGAAGTTGGTGTGTGGGGGGTTGTGGAAGTCAGGGGCAAGAGGATGCCTGGCAGAAGTGGAAGTTGGGGTGTGTGGAGGTTTGAAGGAAGTGGAAGTTGGGGGACAGTGGGAGATAAGAGGTAGTGGAAGTAGGGTGGGAAGTGGAAGTTGCGGGTAAGTAGAGATGGGGTGGGAAGTGGAAGTCAGGTTTGGAAGTGGAAGTAGGGAAGAAAGTGGAGGTAGGCAGGGAGTCAAGGTCTGGGGGGTCAAGTGGAAGTTGGAAGAAGTGAAAGTTGGCCGGAAGTGGAGATAGGTGGGCAATTGGAAGTTGGGGGAATGTGGAAGTCTAAAGGCAAGTGGAAGTTCGATGTGGGGCAAGTCATGGGAAGTGGGGGCAAGTTGAAGTTGGGGGAAATGTTGATCGGTAGGGAAATGGATGTCTTGGGCGGGTGTGAAGGTTGGAGGTGGGGAAACGAGAAGTTGGGGGAAGCAGAAGTGGCAGGACAGTGGAAGACGGGCAGACAAAGTTGGGGGAAGTGGAAGGCAGTGTTTGGGCGGATATGGAAGTCGGGGGGAAGAGGATGTCTGGGAGGAAGGGGAAGTGGGGAGGAAATGGAAGTCAAGGTTGGGGGAAGTAGATGTCAGGTCGAAGTGGAAGTTAACAGGTAGTGGAGGTTGGGTGGGAAGTGAAAGTAGGTAGGAAGTGAAAATGGGGGCAAGTGGAAGTGGGGGAAGTAGAGGTGGGGTGGAAAGAGGAAGTTGGGGGAAGTGGAAGTCGGGGTTGGAAGTGAAAGTCAGGGTAAGTAGATGTCGGGGAGAAAGTGGAGGTGGGTGGTAAATGAAGGTCTGGCGGATGTGTAAGTGGAATGTGGGAAAAATGGATGTTGGAGGGAGAGGAAATGGGTGGGAAGCAGAAGTCGAGGGAAAGTCGAAGCTGAGGATAAATGCAGATACAGGGAAAGTGGATGTTGAATGGCAAAATGGCTGTTGGATGGGGAAGTGGGAGTTGGAGGTCCGGGAAGGGGTGAGTGAGTGAAGGTCTGATGGGGTGGGGGGGAGTGGAGCTATGGGGTGTGGAGGGAGGTCTGGTGTGGGGTGGAATGGAGACAGGGGTGGGAATTGGAGGTCTTTGTGAGGGGGTCTAGGGAGAAGAATTCAGGGTGTGAAGGAACGTGAAAGTCAGGGGGCAGAAATGGAAGTTGGGGGAAATGGAGATCTTGTGGGGTGGAATGGAGGTTTTGGGAGGAAGTAAAAGTCGAGGATGGAGTTAATTGTAAGTCGGGGGAAGCGCAAGTCAGGGAGAGTGTAAGGTAGGTGGGGACGTGGACATTTGGGGGGAAGTGGAAGTGGAGGGTAAGAGGAAGTTGGTGATGGGCAAGTGGAAGTCGGGGGAAATGGAAGTGGGGGTGTGGGGTGTGTGGAAGTTGAAGGGGCTTGGAAGTTGGACAGAAGTGGAAGTCAGGGATGGGGGACATGTGGAAGTCAGTATGTGGAAGTTGGGGACAGTGGAAGTCCGGGGAGAAGTGGAGGTTGGTTGGTGGAAAGTTGAAGTTGGGGATGGGAGAAAGTGGAAGTCGGGGGGTGTGGAATGGGGAAGTGGAAGTTGGAAAGAAGTGGGATGGAGTGAAAGGG